AAAGTGTCGATTAAGGAAATGTGGTATGTATGGTCCAAGGTTTGATTGGTTCTTATTTAAATGCTATAACTTTGAGGCCTATATTACTTTCTTGGTTTATCTAAAAGTAGCCCTGTTCTAGTCTCTGCAGCAATTACACATTTTCGTTTATTTTGTAATATTGTGGTGATTTAAAGGGTTCAATGATTAAATCTGCTAATTACTTAGCAAGGAAAATCAAGAAGCAGATAAAATGTGAGGAAGAAGCTTCTTCATGAGTTAAAGACAAGAATCTCTGGAAATTAAATGTTTCTCCAAAGATCAAAATTTTTGTGTGAGGACAGTGATAGGTGTCGAGTCTGTGTAATAATAATAATGTTAATTCTATTTGCCAATAAAAGCAGTTTCGAGTCAATTCTAATATTGGAACAAAGACTTTGGATGTGCAATGGATTACTAAATTCACCTTGACTCCGAAGAGTTTGCTAGATCCGATATACCAAAATTTATTCATGAAAACTTGTTAACTTGTATATATGGCAAGTAGGGTTGTATCCTCAGGAATTGGGGAAAATTTGCTCCTTTTCAAGTTAAGGATAAACAGGGGTTTTGAGAATTAAAATGTTAATTGTTGTAAAACTAATAAAATAAACTACTATAATATCAAGTAAAATATTGGAGATATTAGAGAAAGAAGTAGAGAAATAGAGAATGATTATCTTATTATTCCAACTAATACAAAAGTCCTTCATAAAGGGTGTCAATGTACCTCTATATATAGGTACTACAAGATTAAAGAAACATTAATCCTATTAAACACCTACTACTACAATAATATGATAAAACCTATGAAACGGTTCTTCCATTACATGAATAGATTTATGGATTGTAACTTCTATACATAATGTAGCCATAAATCAAGAATTAATCCTCTTGAGAATACAAAGGGACATCCATACTTTTAATTGTTTCATAACACTCCCCCTTGGATGTCCATTACACAAAGAATATGTCTCGTTAAAACCTTACTAGGAAAAAATCCATCGGGACAAAAACCCTAGTGAAGGAAAAAGAGTACACTATTCTTGTGTATTAATTTCTCCCCCTGATGCAAATATTATTTGAGATCTTTTAATCGTTGCATTTCAATATTCTTCGCCAATTGCACTGGAATATGGTACTTCAGGACCAAGTATCTCTTCATCTTCCTCTTGCGATCTAAAAGGATCCTTTTTAAGATCTAATGATCTGACGACCATTGGAGTACTTAATATATGTGCCTTATCCATATAAAATCGCTTTAATACCTTCCGAGTATATGCAGTTTGGTGGATAAAAATTTCACTTTTTAAATGCTTAATTTGTAAATCAATGCAGAATTTTGTCTTTCCAAAATCTTTGATCTCAAATTCTTTCTTCAAATATTCAACACTATTTTGAATCTCTTCAAGAGTTTCAATCAAATTTAGATCATCAACATCTACAACATTTATCACAAAATTTGATCCTTTTTTCTTGATAAAAATACATGGATATATTGGATCATTGGTATCCAAATATTTGTGAAAATTCTTGGGCTACTTGCTTTACACCTTTAGGTGTTTGGACTACAAGTTCAAAAACTTTTCTTTTAATCAATAAATCCAAATTGGATCGCATCTCTCCACTTTGCTCAATCATTTCTATATCGACATTCATCAACCGATCTAAATTCATGATTCTCATCAATTTCTATACTATCAAATGCTACATTTCATTAGATTCCAATTAAATTTTCTATGATTTCATTCTCTTCAAGAGTTGGCTCTTCAGGAGCGACCTCTTCAAGAGGTTGAATTTTGTCATGACATTTATTTAATCTCCAGAAATATTTGAAATCAATTTATACCTTATTTAGGTAGGCCGACCTTAAATTTATTTGTAACACTTGTGCATGTCCTTCAGGGACATTAATTTTAATCAGAATATTTCCTGCAGGAATAGTTGATTTAATGACTCTTCTGGAATCGATAAATATAACTTTCTACAAATGAAAAATTTTTTTGAATTTCTAGTTCACATTATTTTGTATGAGAATTGAGGAAATCCAATTTCTCAAATAATTTCCTTTCAGTTGATTTTTTCCTCCCCTAATGTCGGGAATCGTAGTTCATCAGAATAAAAAAATCATTCAATAGATCATCCATCATCAATATTTTACAATATTTAATTGTGAAAGGTGATTCATACCCAACATAAATTTTAAATTTCTTTTAGAGCCATATATAATATAAAGGGGGGTATGTATAAATATTTGTCGGCTCTCAAATATTTTCACTTTCATCAAATCATATATTCATTGGAATCAGTAAATTTCCGATTTACTGCAAGTGATAATTATAAATCAAATGAGAATGAAGACAACTATATCGATATCCATTTCTCTCTCGAATGGTTATTATGATATAATTAACCTTTATCTCATTTGATTTCTAAACATGATCTCTATTATTGTCTCATTTAGTGTCTCAATTTGATAGCCATTTCAACGGATATTCAAATTCAATAATTCTTTCGAGACATGGTAAAATGTAGTGCTTTATTTATAATAAACTGTTCTCCTACAGGGAGAAATATAGTAGTGGCTCTTCTGGAACTTTCAATCACTTAAATACTACCACTGATTGTGTTTGTGTCTTTTGTTGGAAAATAGTGTATATAGTAGCACTTATTAATGAGACATATATCATTGTCACCATAATTCTTATGGGACAAATATCATCACTATAATCCTTTGATCCCAAATATTTAACATCCATTTCTTCTTCAGGAAGAAAAGTCAATTACTATAATAAATTAAATCAAACATCATACACCTTCAGGGTGTTTAAAGAAATTGGCCATGTGAAGATGCTATTATAATTTTGATTCGTCAAATGTACTTGGACATTTATCTTCAGGATCCTTACTTTTTTGTCCTTATCATTATTATTCACTTCAAGTGGTAACTTTTTTCTCTTGTCATGGTAAAATATATATTTACCAAAATCATAGTCATGGAAACAACCATAACTAATAAATTAAAATTTAGTCGCATTCACTTCTGGGAATGGACAATAATTAGTATACAATAAGTACAGAATACTTTTCAAATTTTCTCTTAATATTGCTACTACAGGAGCATATTCGAGAAATCAATTGTAGAGAATATCATTTTCAATATATCTTATGAGTAAAATTTTCTCGACACAATTTCAACTGAAAAGTAATTCTGAAAATTACAGAATTATGTTCTTGTAGCCATAGGTAAATTTATCATACCAGGCTTTTGAAATAATGACCATCTTCTGATGGTCAAATCTTTTTGTTAAAGAACAACCATCTTCAGGTGATCGAATTTTTTTCTTTAAATATTTCAAAAGACAAGTAGATTCTCAAATATAATTGATTTTCTATAATAGCATCTCCAAAATTCAATGCATCAGAATATAAGTATTTATAACAAATAATTCTAAAAATAAATGAATAGAATTAAAAGGAGAAATATTACCTCAAATATATCAAACATTATATATTTGTGTTTAGTGGTTGCTCAGCAATAGACACTTGTATTTTTTGATCATTCAAATGTTAGTCATAAGAAATTGAAATAAATTTATATATAAAAAATTTACCTCAATAAGTAGACAGAAGTTGTCGAAAAAATACGGATAGAATTTCTTGTTTCACTTTTACTCAAGGTAAATCCTCGTTTTCACCTTTTGCTCAAAAGTAGAGACTCGTGTTGATAACGTGTTGTAAAACTAATAAAATAAACTACTATAATATCAAGTGAAATATTGGAGATATTAGAGAAAGAAGTAGAGAAACAGAGAATGATTATTTTATTATTCCAATTAATACAAAAGTCCTTCATAAAGGGTGTCAATGTACCTCTATATATAGGTATTACAAAATTAAAGGAACATCAATCCTATTAAACACCCACTACTACAAGAATATGAAGAAACCTATGAAACGGTTCTTCCATTACATGGATAGATTTATGGATTGTAACTTCTATACATAATGTAACCATAAATTAAGAATTAATTCTCTTAAGAATACAAATGGACATCCATACTTTTAATTGTTTCATAACACTAATGGATTATTAACTAAACTAATCAATTGTGAAAAAATAATTAAGAAAGATAGATAATGAGAAAAACTATAGTCAAAGATACACTTTAGAAATGGTTCATGCAATTGATCATTAATGCAATTATAATTCCAATATTCATTAATAAGTAATTTTTTAACTGCCGATGCAATCTGACAGTCAGTCTCTCCTTACTGTTTCGATAGTTAAGGTACGACTATTGACTATTTTCCTAATTTAGGAATAATCGTAGGTACGATCATAAGATTTAATTCCCAGTTGCATTAGAAACTAAAGAAACCCTACTTTAATCAATAAACACGCTACGAAAGTTTATTTAAATTAGATTGTACGTTTCTCTGATACAAACCCAATTATATCAGTTGCTACTTGGATTGGAGTAGTCAAATAATTACGAATTCAACTGCTCTAATTAGCAAATAGATTACGTGAGTAATTAAATATTGCATACTTATTCAATCACACACAATAATAATAGCCACGAAAAATAGAAAACATACAAATACCAATGATTGAATGAAACAATTAAGATGGGAAGTTGGACGTGGAGCTAGTTAATAGGATCTTTAATAAAAAGGATGCGAAGAGGGTGCTTAGAATTCCCCTTAGTGCGCGACTTGGGAAAGATAGAATCTACTGGACACTGTCGACCACAGGGGTAAATACAGTAAAGTCGAGCTACAAGCTAGCAAAAACTTCTCAGTTCATAGTTGGAAGTTTCTCTGGGGGATGAGGGTGCAGCAGAAGTTAAAACATTTCATTTGGAAATGCTTGACTGGAATATTGCTTGTAAACGTACTAATTACTAATTAGAGACAGATGTTTCAGAGGAAACTACTTGTGCAGGTGCTGTGGGGAAAGTCCAGAAACAATAGAGCATATGTTTTTCTTTTGCAGCAATGTCAAGGCTATCTGGGAGGCTGCTCCTTTAAGTTGGGATGATCTAGAAAGCTTTAGGAGCAAATTCTGGTTATGGTGGGAGGAGTTGAAAGATGCAGTGAAACAGGAAAGAATGAGAGAACGTGTTGAGCTTACGGTGAATTTGTTGTGGCAAATTTGGAAGTCAAGAAATGGGGTGCAATTTAATAACAAAAGAAGAGATCCAACACTAGCAGTCCATAAAGCTGTAGTGGAGTGGAGAGAATTCCATGACATTCAGGAAGCGGAGGTGGAAAGAGTAGGTGGCGGCGTAACGGAGAACGAAGGAATATCTGGCTGGGGGAGACCAAAGGAAGGTTGGATTAAAGTGAACTCAAATACAACTTTGCATCTAGAAACGGATAAGGCAGGATGGGGGATCATTGTGAGGAATTGGCAAGGGAAGGTGGTGGAGCAGCTTGGGCAGTGCCAAGGCCATTATGTACGCATGCAAAGTCAGAGGAAGCGCTTGCACTCAGGTTTGCCATGTTGGTGGCAAACCAGAATGGATGGAGACGAGTAGAGTTCGAATCAAATTGTTTGCAGGTAGTTAGAGAACTTAATAGTGCAAATGAAGAGGTTATTAGGTGCACAGTGATAGCTGACTTGAAGAAACTCATACTAAATTTTGATGAATGTTGTTTTGCTTATACTAGAAGGGCAAACAACTTTGTTAGTCATTCTTTAGCTAAGAAAGCATTACAATTGGAATGTTCTGCCGAATGGAAGGATAGCTTCGCAGGCTGGCTGCTTGAGCTTGCTCATGCTGATTGTAAGGACAGTTGCCTATCTGTTACATAACTGTTGGAGTCCAATTAATAAAATGATGCCGTTTTGATAAAAAAAAAAAAAGAAAAGCAATTAAAATAATTTAGATCTCACAATTATCATTGAATCAAATCTTCAATTGTCACCTTGACTAGAAGTATGAAATTAGTTCTCCATTAATGGAGAATAAGTCACGTAAAAATCCGTTCGAAGCTTTCCCATTGTCTTCCTCCCTATCGATCCAAAAAAATAAGAATTACTATGCTTTGTTCCTAAGCAAGAGCTATATCCGAATTCTCTCTGCCGAATTACTTAATTGATTGGTTTCCTAATATCAATCAAATTCCTAAAGAGTTTCCTATTACAATTCAATTTCCTAAAAGCTCTCCCAATTGCTCGAGACTGACGTGGAATGCAAAGAAATAGGAAACTTCAGCAGTTGTCGAGTTTTGAAATTTGACTTGGATTGGAAACTGTTCAATATCAATCCCGACTTTCTGTTTTTGAATCCCGAACTTATGTTTGCCCACGTGAAAATCATCAAAAAAATTTTCATTTAAGCACTTTTCGCTCCAACACCCTATAATTGATATAAAATACCAAATATAAGTAGAATCTATCAATTAATACAATATTTGACTAAAATCAAGGAAAAAATAATTATATATTTAGCAACAAATTATGACCTATCAGATAAAATCTTCAAGCGAGACTTGGAAAGATGATAACAGTCTGTAAATGTTGTGGATATGCAGTGGAATCCGAACAACACATGTTCCTTGAATGTGAATTTGCCCAAGTGTGGAAGGGGCTGGAACTTCAGATGGCTTCAAACATTTCATCCATGTCCATGAAATCGATGCGGCAATGGCTGAAAATAGGGGTGGCAATCGGTCAAATTCGAGTTGGCGGGTCGGGTTGAGACCCGTGTATAACAGAAAATCTGCTGACCCGTCAATCCTAAATGGGTCAGAATATTTGACACGAACCCAAAAATTTCGGGTTGGCGGGTCGACCCGAAATGACCCGAAACTTAATTTTAATTTATTAATTCACCACTATAATTTCTAATAAAATCAATTTCTCACAAAACTAATTACATAATCAAGTAATAAAAATTTAAATAAATAATCTCAAACCAAATCTAAAATAAATTAAACACCGTAAAAGTGTTTTATCCCAAACCAAATATAAATTAAATTAAATCAGTATAAAAGTAAAAAATAATATAATATATTATTTGTCCAAATATAATAATTTCAACTTCACACAAGTTAAATAAATTCATTTAGGATTAAGTAATTAATGTCTTTGAAAAAAAGGAATAACTTAATTTAGTTAGATAAAATAATTTTTATATTTATTAAATTATTTTTAATTCGTAAACGGGTCACCCACGGGTTGATCCGAAATTAACTTGTTTTCTTTTCGAGTTCATCGGGGTTCTACCCGATTCTGACCCAAACCCTGAAATCTCAACCTAAATTCATTAATTTCATATTAAATTCGTGTCGTATTTTCAAGTCATATCGGAAATTGCCACTCCTAACTGAAATGATATCCCCTAGAACTATCAACCCTGAACAAGTTGAATGTTTAGCTTTCCTCAAATCTCTGCCATTTTCAAGAGATTTTGGTATTGCCCATTTCATTCTGGAAGATGATGCCTTAAATGTTGTGCAGAAGATCAAAAACAAGAATATGCGAAGCTGTTTTGAATATGTTAATGAGTTTCCCATGTTGGAAGAAATTGCAATGTTCCTGCTCATATCATGTCAAGGTTGTCTTCATCCCCAGGGAAATCTTGTATATATGCTGCTGAAGCTTATTTAAAGGATTGATGGTAATTTCTTTTTCAAAAAAAAAAAAAAAATCCATTACAGCCAATACAGAGTTCATATGTAGCGTTGGGTAATTTACCTCACAAGTAAATCTAGCTGATACTAATTTCCAAAGACACAAATCATTTGGTGAGAATGTGAACAAAGTAGCCATAATAATGTCACTTCATTTGACTCTCAAACTCTACTATATCTCCATACACTTGTAAAGCTTATACTATATGGTTTCTTTCTTGAAAAAAAAAATTATAAATACTAGTAATAAGTATATCTTTTATGAACTTGTATTCTAACTGATAAACTAGCTCAACTTTAGTGTCAAGATTTACGTAGGTAGGTAATGAGCATTTCCATGCCCATATTCACATTACACGAATAAGCACATCCAAAGAGGATAAAAGAAAGGATTAATGCACTATAATTCATCCGTTAATTTGTCTCAGATTTCAATCTTCTTCTTCCTCAGCATGCGGCCTGTACATTCTGATCGGGCGATTATGTAATGGTTGGAGTGGTCTTGCATTGGCTTCCGACTCCTGCAAAAAAAAGGGATTGCTACATGTTATGACAGTGAGTAAACCACCTAATCATTTGATTGCGCTTCTAATTATGCAGGATTTGACATAAATAGTCGAATTAATGGTCAAATTAAACCAGATTTTTTTTGGGATTGAAGTAGAGTTTTATTTGGCAACTCACATCGTGTACAGCTTCTCGAATCATTTTCACTTGATCTCTAGTAACAGTTCTAACCTGAGGAATTTTGATGCAGTTAGACTTCAGAATTCAGATGGATATATATATATATATATAGAAAATCTTAAGAATTTCCAATTAGAATTAGTTCGACTAACCTTCTTAACAATTGTCCAAACGACATTTTGAGTGCAAGGAGGAATCGTTAGCGAGCCAATGTACCTATAATACTTCCTGCTTCCTAACTTTATCTGCTTTGGATCAATAACACCCACAACTTTCTCCAAATCTCTTGTATCAGCAAGAGCCTTTAATTTATTCTCCATCTAGGGTTACACATATCCAACATTAACCAAAAAAAAAAAACAAAGAAAACAGTGCCATAAAAACAAAAATAAAGGGTGTTAATTTTGTGAAGTAAATTATCTTGAAGTCTTTAATTTCCTCTAGGATAAAAAAGAAAAAGAGTAAAAAACAAAACACCCCATGTGGTAAACCTAATATACAGAAAAGTCCCCCGCGATTTCAAAATATACAACACGACACCCCGTACTTTGAACTAAATTGTAAGGGTGACGGAATCCGTTAAACTTAACGGAAATGGACGAAATGACCAAAATGTCTTGATATAATTAAGCAAAAGACAGCTCAAAAAAATCATTTGTTTTATTCTCTAGATAGAGAAAATTGAGGGTTAAGGAATAGAACAGGTATATTTGTTAAAAATTAGTTATAAAAATTTTTTTTAGGTTCCAATAAGTCATTTCCGTTAAATTTAACGGATTCTGTCACCTTTACAATTTAACTCAAAGTACGGGGTGTCGTGTTGTATATTTTAAAATCACGACGAACTTTTTTGTGTATTAGATTTATCACAAAGGACTTTTTTGTATTTTACCCAAAGAAAAATAAAGACATAGTATCTTGAGAAGGGGGAGCTAATATATACCATAGATAAAAAGGAGTCGGATCGTCCAATCTCATATATGATTCCAATTACAGCGATCCTTCCATTGAGGGCTTCATGAACCAAATGCGCCTCTAGATCGTACCTGTGGTTGATTTTAAATTATTCAATGCTCTTGATTAATTACATGTAATCCTACAGTCTAAACAGCTAAGCTCGCAACATTTTGTTAAAAGGAAATAATTAAGCTAATTAAAGTACCTTTTGCCATTAATAGAATGTTCACTAGGTGAGTGCCAGTGACACTGTCTGAGATGATATAAGGTCCCATTTATATGAATATGCCCAGCATCATCAACCCATCTCAACTGCACATTAACAAAGCAAAACCATCAACCAGAGGAACAAGAAAGTTGTAGGGCCACAAACGAGTCGAGTCGAGTCGACTTTTGGCCTTATCGAGTCGAGCCTTGACTTAATTTCATCGAACTCGAATTCGAGCTCAACGAGCTGGTAATTTTTAAGGTCGAGTTCGAAAAAAATAAAAATAATTATTTTATTCTTTTTTAAAAAATAAATAAAATAATATTTTTTCTTAATAAATAATAAAATATTAAGGATATTTATGTAATTTTACTATTAAAATAAAAATAAAAAATATACTTATATATATATATTCGAGCTCGCGAGCCTAACGAGTTTAATGTTTTGAACTCGAACTCAAATGAGTGGCTCGATTCGTTTGCACCCCTAGAAAGTTGTTACCTCACTATGTTAGGGAGGTCCACGTACCTTGATATTTCTCAGTTATTCTTGTACCCAAATGTTTATTTTGCAAGCGAAATTTAATTGAATGAATTATTGGGCATAAGTTCATACTGTACAAAAATAACGAAAGACTCGATTTGTTTGAAGTCATATGTAGGATTTCAATGGTAAGAGAGAGTCACCATCATATCGTGACCTCTATTCACGAGAGTGGCATTAGAAGGCTTGTATTCCTGTGAAGTCTTCCCAAGCTTGACACAACTTGAACTCTTGCATCCAGCAGATCAATCGGCGACTGCATGCTACCATGGTTACACATGCTCCACTCTTGCCGAATCTCCCCCCAGTGAGCTGGTCCCCTGTGGCTTCTTTCATCGTAACTAAATTCCTTTTCATCCTCTGCAACAAGCATGAATGAAAAATTATTCGTTCCATACTCAATACTATAATACTGATCAATGCATTCATTGGGACGCAATATCCGATGCATTTTTGCACCATTTACAGGGGCAACCGCTTGCTAAATCGGACCTTAATCCAAAACTTTTTAGCTTGTATAAGTTCGAAAACTTACCTACTTCTTCAGCTCGTGCCAGATTACATGCAAAGGTCGTACAAACGAAGAAGCAGCAAAACAAGGCTTTTCTTGTAAGATTCTCCATACTAATTTGCCCGGTGTGATTTTGAACGTGAAGTTGTCGTAGAAGGACTTGATAATTAGGTGCTGATTATATAGCAGCTACATGAAATGTGAACCTGACATGTACTATTTTGAATTTTATTTGACCCAGGTGGGTATCCGAGGAAACTTCGTCTGAGACTTTGAGGCAGCAGGTGGGCGTGAATTGGCAATTTTCTAGCGAACAGAATTAAGAAAGCCAATTGGCCTTTTCTTGTTGTATTTAGATACTACTATATAAGTAGATTCCAGAAGAAAAGAGTTTAACCCCTCTAAATTCCTTTTCCCGGTTTCTTTCGTGGAACAGTACGTAGAAGTGGAGACTGAGGACACAATTAGATCAACGCCCGAGGCGACGAATTTTCTAGTTGACGTTTCCAAAAGAAAAGGCTTCAGCATAACGTGTCAAACTTCGCCTATATGGTTAATTTGGAACATCTTCTGAGTCTTTAGATGACAAGTAGCTGGTTTATTCAATGTTGCCGGTAAGCTACTCAGCAGCATAGCTTTAATTCTTTGATTTGGATGTACAAACGTTACGTTCAAATGTGTGCAGCCAAACTACAAAATGAAAGGGATATAAGGGAAAAGTAAATTAAGGACAAATTAGCTAGTCTTCTCTCACTCTTCAAATGGAACTGGAAGGCTTTGCTTTAACTCCATTTCTGTATGAAGCCTATTTTCCCTCTTTCGGCGTTTATTAATTTATTGGACTTTCCCTTTACAAATTCGGCATCCAAAGGGGCTTATGTACTCTTCAGAAACAAGGATAAGCATGTATATAGACTAATCAGCATTGGCATTTCATTTTCTTCATGTATTTTTTTTTTTATAAAAAAATTGCAACGATGCTAAGGGTCTGTTTGGTTGGATGAAAAATATTTTTCAGAAAATGTTTTCCTAATTTTCCACTGTTTGGACACAATCTAATTTGGGAAAATGATTTCTACGAGGGAAGGAAAAAAACTTCCTTATCTATTATTCTGAAGTTATTTTCCTTTCTTAAAAGCACGGCCTCTTCTTAAAATCACGGCCTAAAGGCATTCTTCCACTTCAGCAGATGCCCATTCTCAACGATTGAAGACCATCGATTGACGACTCATCGGCGAACCAATCCTTTTTCGCCGGCAGCGCCTCCAGCTCCGGCGAAGACCCACTTCCTGAGGTAGGCTACTCTTTCAATTGGCTATTCTCTTAATCCTTCTTCTTACAGGTCTTGGGCTGAAGCTTTTCATCATTTTCTATTATTTATTTTCCTACTTTCTTGAAGGGTTGGATTATATCGCAATTCATTGTCCTGTTGAGTCAAACTTATTGCTTGCTTAGTGATCGTTAGTAGTATTTTTACTGGAATTTCTAGTTTTGAGTGGGCAGTTTTCTTGATTTATGCATAGTAGGGTTTATTGTTGATTTTTTTTTTGAGAACCTGCTTTGTTCCCTTAAGGAATTGCAGAAAAAGTTTCTTGCTTTGATAACTTTTGTATCCCATTAAGATAATTTTTGCTACACACACACAATCACACATTGGGTTTGCTTGTGTTCGTTTCTTGGAGATTGTACAGAGCTTGATGAAGCTCTGATAGCACTGTACAAGTTATTACTGGTAATTTTGGACCAAGAAAACTCAAAAAAGGAAAGGATAGTGAATAATTGAGCAGGATTGTTATTACAGATTTCTATTTGTTTATGGCATTTATGTTGCATTAGTTTTGCTGGGATTTTCTGGAACCCTGTATCACGCATATAACACTAAGAAAGATGGAAAACGGAAAAAAAAAAAAGAAGGGAAAAAGAAGAAACTTCTGGTTTGTTAGAAAGACTGAAAATGTTGGTAGCTATGGAAAAGATAATGAAGCTCTGATGTTACAGTTGCCTGTTCAATTATTTTGGAACCTTACTGCAAGCGATAGGGATTTTCTTGCATCGTTAATTTCTTCTGACATAATAGTAAGCTCCCTTTAAAGATTCACAAAAAGTAATAGATCACAGTTAGAATGCTCCAAACTTAGGCTCAATATCTGATAAAGTACATTCAGATTATGTGTCTTTGGAAGATCTTGTTCCATTAGCAATGGCTAATTTTGAAGCTCTCTCCATTGAAGGGTTGAGGATTCAATGTGGCTAGTCAGATGCACAAGCACCTTCAAGCATTAGGCCCCGTTTACTAAGAACTGGATCAGCCATTGGGTTCGTGGCGTTCACTGTTCTTCCCACTTCGTGGGCTCTTACCTTTGCCATAGGAGTAGAGCATCTTTTTGGGCATGCCTGGGATCAGCTCGTAATGTACAATCTTGCTGACAGATATGGTTTGACGGGCTGGATCTAACTTTGTAAATTTCTCTAGTCCTCAGACTGTAAACTCAACTTCTGTTTGCTGACTAGATTTAAACCCTGATGGGTGCATTTGTTGCTTTTGAGCTCCATAGAAGGTTGTACTGTAATTATTGATCTGATAGATCTAATATTTTTTGAATTGGCTCTTACCATAGCACAAATCAATCAATTGGCTGCTCATGTTTCTGTTAGAGAGCACTATGGCCATTCAGGCTCTTGACTGATTCAAATTTGTGTTAAATTCTCTTGTGCATGCATACACAGGCGGTTGCAGAATGATGACTGCTCCATTTCTGTTTTTGGCCAAATATCAGTTCATTTCGGAATGCATTACCATCAAGTGAAAGATGCTATATCTATCTGATGGAACAGCTGCCATTTATTTAGATAAAATTTTGTGAAGTCCAAGATATTAATACTTCATAATGTGGATAAGGGGCAGCACGTTGCTTGCCTGATTGCTTTCCTGGCATGGTTACTGCCTTGGAGTCTTTTATATATGTATATGTATATGTATATGTGTATATATATGTATATGTATATGTATATGTGTATATATATATGTATATGTATATATTTATTGCGTCCACCGTTCAGTGAATAAGGTGAAGGTGCCTGGGATCTTCACCCCCTTATTGATTTTTTTTTAAAGGAAGATCAAAAACCAATTCATTAGTGTCATTAATAATTCCATTTAAGAATTCATGGCGTAATTTGAATAAATATTTTATAAAAATGATAATATGATTATAATGGATAGAAGCTAAAAACACTTGTAATGAGATGAATGTTTTGAGAATAGAAAAACATTTGCAACATATCAACAAATATTAAAAAGAAAGTCAAAAAATATTTTCACTGACAAACCAATCACCGGAAAATTATGTAAAAGGAATTTGGAAAATATTTTCACTAAATAACCAAACACTGGAAAAATATGGAGAAGGAAGTGATTTTCCAGGAAAATAACTTCGATGGAAGGGAAAATATTTTCTGTCCAACGAAACAGACCCTAAGTGCGATATTGTGTCATATATATATGTCACACACAGACATATAGCTTTGTGGAGAGGCGAGTCTGGGCTCAGGGAACTATATATTGCCCTATAGCAAGTAGCCAATTTGCACGTATGTGGAAATACAAGTTTTTTCCTCTGGTTTTTGTTACTCTGCGATGTCTCTCTCTCCTACAAATTGAATATTTCTCAGGAAAGGAAATGAAAAATTGAACGGTACATGTTCCTTTTTTTTTTTTTTTTGGTAATTAAAGATGCATTGAGAAGAAATAGGTCTACATAGTCATGAACAAAGTAATTAGCTTAATATATAGTCATCCGAGTGACCTTAAATCATCCCAAGGTAGGGGAAGTACAAAATCTGGATAACTATCAAAAACTGGATGTAATCATTACTGCCTTCTTCCCCTTTTAGCTAGCATGCCTGCACACCTGTTCGCTTCATGAAAATTATAATACTTAGTGGAATGCATGTAGTCGACAGCTCCTTACATTTAGATAAGGTGGGGAAAAGCTCATGAGAATTTGGAGGAGTTTTGCTCGAGAAATGAAACCAGAAGTTTTAAGAGTCCAGTTCCACTTCAAGTGAGGAGACGTTGAGTTCTTTTGCCGGCTGCAAACCATCTCTGAGTCCCCAAAGATGTAAAGCTGGTACATGTTCTTTAATACTGTTCCAAAGATGGAAAGGTGGAGCCAATAGTTGTTGTGGACCTTGTGGTAATGGTTCCCTGGCGGAAATAACACTGAACAATGCCTTCAATATTTTGGTGCAGAATGAGAAATTAATGCATCCATTCAAACTTCAACATGGTCAGAACTTCTTCTTTACAGTTCAAACTTACAAATCATGGGGAATTCCTCTTAAGCCCAGCTACCTGCTCACTAATTAATTGGAATCATTTCCTTTTGTACTGCAACTGTAGTATACTGACTTCTGAGTGCTCTCTACGCATCTGCATGCTGCCAATGCCTATTTCTTACTGTCATTATTGATACATTTATTTTTTTTTTTAACAAAGAATATTTAGTGTGCAAAATTCCACTCACCCATTCAAAGCATTTTTCGATTTTTTTTTTTTTTAAATTCAAGCATCTTCCCATTTATATTCCCCGATCGAATATTTTGTTCATGTTAATTATCCTACTATCTTATCTTGATTTCTAGTGGCAATACATTGAGGACCCATATGGGTGCATGTCATTGATAGAATTCTTGAAACAAACGAAAGGGAAGCCATGTGTTAGATGGCTCACCGGGCCAGCTTCTGCCTTTTGGGGCTTTATGTTTCACTGTCTATTGCTAAATTTTCAACCTAAACTTTACAACATGTCATGAACGAAGAATTCACATTAATTAGTAACCCAACATTGTAAGTATCCTACCCGGTTGTTCCCTTGCCTGTTATGCTTCACAAATGATGCAGTCGAAGAATATGAACCGAATGACGAATATGAATTAACAGTCAAGCTTTGAGAATGAGATTGTCCATGCAACTGATGCAATACATTATAACGCATGTGAAAAATGAATTTTGGTAATCCGAGTTTGAACTATTGATCTATACCATAACATCAGATCAGTACCATACAATTATCACTGATCCACGCTAGTATGGACAACCGAGAAAGCTAGTTCCCTCAAAAACTAAGTGGAAAAGAATTAGAAAGCAAGAAGGATTGCAGCCCTTGTTTCTTCTCACGACCAATTCTTGAAATTTCCAGAATCTAGGAGTTGTGGCAAGTTTTCACAGCATTGGAATAAATAATTGTTTGGAAACTGATTTGATTTTCTCTGATTTGAAGGGTGTCCAAAAAGTCAAAACCATTTCAAAACCATTCAAGGAGGCATTATGAGAATCACCGTGACTTGTGTTCTTGGAGCACATTAGATTAGAAAATTAATTTAGCAGATATGCTATCTGACTATTTATTTGATCAGCTGTTACCTATACGGTTCTACATCTAAAACAATGATTAAGGGCTTGCAAGGCCATTGGAAGGCTGACAGGTTTCACAGTAAAAAAAATCTCAGAAATTTTTTTTTCTTGAAGAAAAATGAGAATGAAGTAGTGTAAGAAAAAGGAAAAGAATGAATAGGTGCAGTCAGATATCACGAGGCACCTCTCAAATATCTTAAGAACCGCGATTTGTAAACTTAATCTTGCAACTTCATTTTGACATGAAAGATAACACGAAGAAAAACCTCATTTTCTTCACCTGATGCAATCGCGAGAGTGGCCTAGTTGTTAACCAATAGATAAATGAAAGAGCAACATGTCAAATGCAATCATGGAGTCGAACAGAATTAACAAGCCACCCAAATTAAGAACCCCAAATCTCCTAAATGAAGTTTTACCTCTTGCCTCTAACCATGCCTCGACATGAAAAGACAACTGAACAGGCACTCCACTCTACGTAGTGTTCATCATCAACCACTTTTAAGGTGGATTTTACTATTATTGTTCATGTCTGGACAAAATATTTCCTCAACTTGATCATTTTAATCTTTCAATATTCCTTTTATTGGTGTAATATGGCAAGTCCACTTATTCCTGCCTCGTTTGGTGGGGACTCCATCGCGCAATATTTATCCAAATTGTAACTATATAAGCCCTAATCCGCCTCTTTGCTCTTTGTACAAACAACAAAGGCCTCACATCATACTTGGATTCTCGTTACTTCATCCTTGAAGAGTTGAAGTTGTGTAAGTGAATTTTTCGACCTTCATCTATATGTAGTTGTTCATATATATGATCAGTTAAGCTCTAATCTATAGTCTATCCTCCTAGCATTGGCATGTATATATGCATGCGTCATGAATGGTTCGATTTTTTTGTTTATTATCTTCATTTCACGGCATCAGTATTGACAGCAGCTTTACAGGGTTGAAGATCTGAAGAATGAAGCATCTGCTAGTCGTTTTCCTACTTGTAATGATCAGTTCTCATGTGGCTACAAGCAGAAAAGTCATGCCGGCCGAGATGCAAGAGCAAGAGAAGAGATTTCTGGTCGCAAATGATGAGGGTAAAATCGATGATAACTCCGGATCAAGCGCGGATAATCACCATCACTTGCCAAGGCAGGACTTCAACAATCACAGCGGAGGTGGCTCCATGGGAGGTGATGACTCGGACGCTCGCAAGAACTAAGAATAATTAGCTACGTAAGTACTTGGGAAGTTTAGTAATGAAGATTATATATAGTTATTTCCTATTTCCAGTTAAAACTAAAATCAGTGAGGGTGGAGTTTTCCCATCAGTACGTTTGCACGATAGGGTTATCTGTTTGTCAATAATCGATTATGAAGAATATATAATCCTCATGTATGCTAGCTAGTATATGAAATGACTGTGGCGGCCATGGCGCATGCATGCATGGTAAATAAATAAAATAAAATCTTTGATTTCCTTTTAGTCCAAACTTGAGGAAAAGAAAAGGCAAAACATAATGAAGAGAAGTTCGCGTGGTAATTTTTGTCTTCAAGATCAATGATTATGTGTTTTCATTATTAGTTGAGGAGAATAATCTGAGTTGGATTTGTAATGGACAATTGGTGAATTTTATTCATTCGGAGTAAAAAAGACAATATACATTTCAGATTTGGAATTGTGCGACAAAATTACAACTACAAATAGAATAGATGTATTAATGGGTGCCCATTAAAAAGATCCTAACAATAATAATAGTACAATGGACTATATTTATAGGTTACACTACAAATAGACAACGAATCTAAACACTATTGAGTAAATTTTACGAACTAGATTAGTGCTAGTACATAGAATTTATCTTGACATAAAAATATAACGCTATAACGCAATTGCAGCAAGCATGTAGAACAATCCCACCATCAATTCTATGGCAACATTTGAGTTAAATATTGAAGAACCAAATCAGAAAAGTGAAGCCTCTTGGCACATTTCCAGGCAACCTTTAGTTCGTTAATGACACAGTTTAATTTTGACGGGCTCATTTCCTTGTTGGTGAAGTTTCAGCGCTCTGAAGCTCCCATGGATTCTTCCTCTCAAGTTTTTGACAAGAAAAACCCAAGTTGGTTTCTGGACCTGTTTCTGGTTTCCAGCTCAAAGCGGTCCTTCAGACGCACGAATGTGCAGTAGTGGTGGACCTCAGACAGCTTAAAAAACATATCGCAATTGAACCATGAGATCCCGGGGTTTGCGTGATGATGCATGAATAGTACGATAACTATTAGG